TAAATCCAGTCACATAAGGTAGAAGATAACAATGACGGCGGGACGGTGGTCTCCGGAATGTGATGCCGTTTCGACAAGCGTCTTCTTCTGGCCAAGAATCTATAAGCTTATACATGATATAATACATATGAACATTAGTACTTACATCTTAGGTAATTGTACAACAAAATTTAAAATAAACTTGGTACAAAACGTTTTCCACACATCATCTAGTAAGTCACAAAAAGCTGCAACACACAGTTTTACCAGTTCTGTGGCGCAGCCCAAAGAAAAGAAAGTTGAAATCAGAAAAAGCTTTCCTATTGCTGGAGAAGACTCTTGAGAGTCCCTTGGACTGCAAGAAGATCAAATCAGTCAATCCTAAAAGAAATCAACCCTGACTGTTCTCTGGAAGGCCAGATAATGAAACTGAAGCTCCAATACTTTGGCCACCCAATGAGAAGGGAGCACTCACTGGAGAAGAAGACCCTGATGCTGGGAAAGACTGAAGGTCAAAGAAGAAGGGGACGGCAAAGGATGAGATGGTTAGATGGTGTCATAGATGCAATGAACATGAAATAGAGCCAACTTCAGGGGACGGCGGAAGACAGGAAGGCCTGGCGGGATCTTGTCCATGGGGTTGCGAAGAGTCGGACTCGACTGTGCGACTGAACAACAAAAATTGCTAACATATGGAAAGCTGGGAAGAGTTTATGTATTGAATTTAGAATCCTGCTTTTCTCCCCGCTGGGGGACCCAAACCTTCTTACAACAGCAGTCACCCCTCTTCCATTTTATCCTCACAACGACCCTGTGAGGGAGGTTAGGCTGAGAGTCTGTGACTGGCCCCAGGTCACCCAGCGAGCCTCCGTGGCAGGAGTACGGATTGGAACCCGGCCTCTCAGATACTAGTCTGGCACCCAGCCCCGTAGCCAGGATTTTGTGGGTCGTGGGACTGGTGGGGCTGGTGTTTCGAACTCTCGTGTGTAAATGCTAAGAGGAATTGCAAGGGGCGAATCATATAGATAACAAGCTGGAGAGGATTGGTCTTGCCCCTACAGTGCTTAACGATATAAACTACCAAGAAGCACTAAATTTGATTAGATTGAGGGTGACAAACATTGATCGATTCAGCACTTCAGTTCGTGCTAGGCGAGTATGCTCCAACTTTGCGGCAGGGGTTGTGCCACCTAAGAAAATTCCTTAGTGTATGAGCTTCCTTACATCCCCTAGATTTAGAAATGTCTTCACGCTTGCTGGGTTGAACGTTTTCCCAACTGCAGAGCTAAGAGGTGGTTTTGCTAAAAAACAGTATTCAAGTAGATTGTGCGATTGTGGATCAGGTGCAACAGAGACCTTAGATCATCTTATGTTATTTTGACACCGGTGTATTGGCCCCAGATCCTGTTGGATTACTCCTATTTTACATAGACATCACCTTCCTATGGAACCAGGGGTCATTTCCTGCAGGAGCGCACTGGAGCGGAGCTCCGGCAGTAAGGAGCCCAAGGGGTGGGCACATGCAACAAGCCCCGTCCCCTGCTCCCAGCAGCCTTCAGTCGGAGCAAGAAGCAGCCAGGTAAGTTGCAGAGCCCCCCCCCCCCCCACCTTCCCTGGCCCATGCCAAGGTATATGCAAATGTTATGCTAATGAGTTATGCTAATGAGCTCCTGCACCTCTTTTTCTACGAAATGACCCCTGTATGGAACCTTGGGTGATAGCCATACTGCTAGCAGATGAGGACCCTGAAACGACTCGTTGGGTGGCAAAATATCTATCGATAGTGCTGTTTTTAAAGTGGCCTTGAAATGCTGTAGGTAGTTTTATGTATATAAATTTTAAAAATTCTAAAAATAATTTCCATAATATCACTGGGTTTTGTAGGATTTATGGAAGTTTACAAGATGTTGTCTATTGACTTCCAGTTTATGGCGGCGTGATAGCAGCCACATCTCCCGGACCTCTCGGGGACGAGGCTGCGCTCCGGCAGAAGGAGGGGATGGGCAGGTCCGTAAACCCCCCCAGGGGCCCAGCGAAGGGACCCTGGCCAGGGAGCTTTAAGGGGCGGCCTCTTCGATGGCAGAAAGCCAGAGAATGGAGGCGCTCCTCTGCTCCAGAGGTTCTTCTTGCCGAGAGACCCAACGGTACTAGTGACACTAACCGGGGCAAGCGCAGGAGATCCAGCGGCAGAAACGATGCAGAAAGTGTGGTCGACAGACCAGTTATGAACATGAGTCGACTTTAAAAGCAATTTTAAAAGGAAAAGACAGCTCCCCACCCCACCACTGAGCGGGAGAAAGGCAAGCAGGGGGAGGGACGCCTCCCACACGCACGGACTTTTGAGCGTATAAGGGGGGGGAGCGGATGAAAACGCGAGGAAAACTGTCTGGAAATACTCACCAAAGAGACTGTAAGCGGTCAAGCGCACATTCAGAGACTTTCAAAAAATTTGTAAAAGTAAATAAACGGAAAAGATGGCGGGGAAGAAGGACAGAGAAAAGTTTGTGAAAGCGAAAGAAAGTCCAAAACCGGAAGTGACCAGTGAGATGGCTAAGTCTGTAGCAGAGTATATGCACCCTCTGCTGGAACAGCTAAACAATTTCAAAGAACAGATGTCGGTTGTGACTCAAAGTATCAGTGCAACAAACCCAAATAAACGATATGCTACAAGTGATGAAGCAAGAGAATGAAAAAGTTAAGGAAGTGGCTGCAACTACACAAAAAGTGAAGAAAAAAGTCCAAAAGCTGGAAACAAAGCAAATTCCCATGGAAGATCAATTGCTACAAGTTCAAATGGATAAAGCTAATATGGTCCTTCGCTTCCAGCGCATGCCAGAGAAACCGGGGGAGAATCTTAGAGAAGTTATGAGTGATCTACTTGCACCAGTGGCAGATAAGAAAGTGGAATTGTTACTAAACGATATGGATGTGGCCTATAGGTCGTATTCAGGTTATATAAAGAAAAATAATCTGCCTGGGGAAATTGTTGTAAGATTCTCGAAGAGGCATGTGAGGGATGCAATCCTGAAAGCGGTATCTGGAGTACCCCTGAAAGTGGGGGAAAATATCATCAGAACGCTTAAGGATCTTCCATTTGATGTAAGACAATGGAGAAGGAAATACAAAGAACTTGTGACTTTTCTTCAAACGAATACAATTGGGTACAAATGGCTATTTCCAGAAGGCGTTACTTTTAAGGTGAAAGATAAAAAAGAAAAGATTCACTCTGTGGCGAAAGCTAAAGAATTCCTAAGGGTTCAGCTGGGAAGATCAGAGGAGGAGAAAGAAGAGAAGGACAGCAAGTCGAGTGGAGAATTGGATTCGGGCTCTTCTGACTGAGCAAGGAGAAGCTGCTCCAAAAAGTCCATACAAGCTTAGGAAGAGACGAGGAAGAGAGAAGTGAAAGAAGGAGGACTCTGAATTGTGCCTCTAATGAAACAATATGTGGTGATGATGGGAGGGTATTGTTCTTAGACAGTTAAGATTTAAAAGTCAAAGGAAATGGGAAAAATACTAGAAGTGCGACTCAGTTTATATTGATCTAAATGATGCTTTGAATTATTGTAACTAAACTTTTTGAAGATCTCCTCTCTTGGGCTTTTAGGTTGTAGTTGGTTTCTTTTCTTTTTCCCTTTATATGTAGCTCCCCTCCCTTTTCTATAGAGTTTTGTAGTCTTATAAAAAAATAATTTAAAATCCCCTCCAGGGGCTTAAAAAAAAAAGATATTGTCTATTAATATCGTTTATGAGTACGCTTATTAGTTTTTACTATAAAAATGTTTGGCCTAAATTATCCTGTAATTATATGTAATGTGTTTTATAGCAGCTGTTTGTACGCTTGGCTTAAGACCTCTGGCCAATGAGGCTAATAAATGAAAGGAGAGGAATCCCAAATGTCTGCTGCAGCAGCGATTTCCGGGTATCACACATCACCCCTCGCAGCAACGCACACGTTTGTAAGGTTAGTTACCGCCTTTATATATATTCACTTTTTATTCTCTCAGTAACTCCTTTTTTCCCATACGCCCAGGGCTCTTTTTGTAGAAAAAGTCCAGCAGGAACTCATTAGCATATTAGGCCACACCCTGACAGCACCGCTCATTAGCACATTAGGCCACCCCCCCATGTTACCAGAAGTGTGGTCATCCAGCCACACCCACCTTTCCCTTCTTATTCTGCTTACCTTGTTTGTTGTCAAAACCCAGGGCCTTTTTTTTGTAGCAGGAACTCCTTTGCATGTTAGGCCACACACCCCTAATGTAGCCAATCCTAATGAGTTTCTGCTGTTGGGTGTGGCCTATTATGCTAATCAGTTCCTGCTGGGCGTGGCCAACTCAGGAGCCAGCCGGAACTCCGTTCCTGTGCGTTCCTGCCCAAAAATAGCTCTGACCGTACTAATAAATTGTTGTTGTTGTTGAGTAGCTGACTCACAGTCCTCAGAATTCTGGCTTTCCTTTCTGCACTGAGAACTTCGCCCCCACCAGGATAAATTTGCCCCACAAGCCACAAGATCCTGGCTACGGGCCAGTCACACACCCTCACCCTGCTTTTGTGAGGATAAAACGAAAGAGAGGCGGCTTTGGGTCGCCACTGGGGAGAAAGGAGGAGTCCAAATGAAGTCAGAAGTACGTTACGAAGCCGAGGGAGAAGGAAACAGAGGGACACACGTTTCACAGGGCCGTGTCGGCCAGCTAAAATTCCCGATTGACCCAAAGCTGCGGGAGAGAGCAGGGGGGTCTCATCTCCGACATCGTGGTGGGCTTTGGAGGGTAACCAGCCACCCCAGGCCCCCACCCCC